CTATAAACCTTTACCTATAATTACAAAGTCTGTAAACCATAAGCCCCCCACCTTAAATAACTCATTTGGCAAGAAGATATAAATTTACCAAAAGCTACAAAACCTTTCCTGAAAAGATAAAAATCAATGAAGTCTTTATTAGCCGGGTGTGGTGGTGCACGCCTGCAATCCCAGCACTTGGGAGGCTGAGGCAGGAGGATCACTGTGAGTTCTAGACCAGCCTGGGCTACATAGTGAGCTCCAGGTCAATCTCACTACATAGTGAGACCCTGTCTCAAAAAAACCAAAAAAAAAAAAAAAAAAGTCTTATTTATCCTGTTGATTATGAATATTCATACCTTTTGCTGTGGAGGCATCAGTATTTTTCCTAAATCCCTTATATGTGGTTTAACATAATTCACAGAATTCTGAATTCTAAAAAATTCTAACCCCAATAGTCCTAATACAACTAAATATTATAGACCTATCTTACATTTAAAATACATACACCTCAGCTCAGAATTGTAAGAAGGAATACTTTTCGTCAATCTCCAGGTAAGATTAATTGCACTGAGACTTCACTGTTCCCAGACTAAGTACAACTTTCTAGTTCTACCAGGAGAACTTTTTTCTTTTTTTAAATTAAACCCTAGGATTCACTGTGTGAATCAATTTGTGAGTTAATTTGAGGATTTGACTTGGTGAGTCTCCTCCCTGCCCATTAACCAAGTGATTAGTGTTCATGTTAGTTTTGTGGAAGCTCTGATGGTAAAGTGATTTTCCTGCATTATCAGGTGTCAAAGCAAGGGATGACCATGAACTATGGCCACACCATAGATGTCCAACCTAGGGGCGTTTGTCCTTTGCTCTGTTGGTCATGAACCCTGCTGCCCCCTGGATTTGTGATATTGGACTCAATTGCTGACTCCACGTGGTTTCAGTAATCTTCCACAAATCTCTGCCACTCCTTTTCTAGCTCAGATTTTGCAGTGAGCCTTTCACTTCTTTGCAGTGAACATAGTCCCACTATGTTGTTGGACAACACTATTTCATTTATAGTAAGGAAAACACAAGGAACAGAATCACTTCGCCTCCTTCCTCTCAATCAATGGCAAGTCTCTGGTGTCTTCCTTAATCAGAGTCTCCCCCCACCATCCATCCTACCATATCTTCATCCATTGATTAATTTCTGATTTGTTCTTCTGATTAATACCGAGCATTGCTAAAGCTCTGCTCTTTGAAAAAAAAAAAAAAATGGACTCTTTAGCAACAATTAAAATGCCAGAGTTAAATACTAAATGGTTTTTGGAAGAGATCAGAGCTACAAAATAAAATGTAAAATGTTTGTGTGTATAATTACATAATATAATTTTATGTAACTAAAATTTTAAATTTCAAATAATTGGGCCTGGGATTTGCACAGTGGTTCTGCTGCCTGCCTCACAAATAAAAGATCCTGAGTTCGATCCCCGGTACACCCCCCAAAAAAAGAGTCCTAAGCTGGGTGTGGTGGCGCACACCTGTAATCACAGCACTCGGAGGCTGAGGCAGGAGGATCACTGCAAGTTCGAGACCAGCCTGGGCTACATAGTGAGTTCCAGGTCAGCCTCAACTACATAGTGAGACCCTGTCTCAAAAATTAAAAAAAAAATTTTTTTTCAAATAATTACATTTCTTATTTGTATTCCAGGTATTATTGTACTTTGGGGGGTGTCCTTTAAAACAGGGTCTTACTTTGTAGTTCAGTCCCTGAACTCTCTATGTAGCCCAGGCTGGCCTCAAATTCATGTCAATCCTCTGCCTCAGCCTCTTGAGTACTAGGATTACAGGTGTGCACCACCAAGCCCAAATTTTTCCATTATCAAAATTTATCAGTCCTGATATCTGTCTCATTAGGCACTAGCCCTTTATTAAAGTGAATCTTAAACCTGATAAATTAATGAGAAATATTATTGGTTGGTAATGGTACAAATGATATTGTCCAGATCATATTAGTTTTTTGTTTTGTTTTAACTGGGAATTGAACTCAGGGTCTTCTCACTCAGCCACATCCCAAGCCCATTTTTCATTTAAAAAAAAATTTTTTTTTCATTTTTTAAATTTTTGAAACAGAGTCTCACTAAGTTGTCCAGGCTGGGCTCAAACTTGTGATCCTCCCGACTCAGGGTCATGAATAGCTTTACCCAAGGAAGCAATTAATTACTTCAATTACAGTCAATAGATACTGAAAGAGCAGATACATGTGCTTAGTCCAGTCCCTCCCAAGTCTTGTTTTATGGACCCCGGTCTCTGTTTATTTTGAGGGGGTTTTTTGTTTGTTTTCGGTGGGTTGGTTTGATTTGGTTCCAGTTTGGGAGTTTTGTTGTTTGTTTGTTGTTGTTTCTGGTTTTTTTTTTGGTACTGGGGATCGAACTTGAGTCCTTGAGCTTGTGAGACAGGCCACTGAACCGCTGAGCTAAATCCCCAGCCCTATTTTGTTTTGTTTTTTGTGTTTTTTTGTACCGGGGATCAAACTCAAGACCTTGCACTTGTGAGGCAGGCAGGGGAAACACTGAGCTAAATCCTCGGTTATTTGTTGTTTTTTGAGACAAGGTCTCTCTTAATTCCATGCTGGCCTTAAACTATGTAGTTCATCCTGGCCTTTACCTCACTGTGATCCTCCAACCTCAGCCTCCTGAGTGCTGGGATTACAGGCTTGCCCCACCACGCCTGGCTTTGTATATTATTCTCAATGTCTGCAGCACTTCTAATCATCTCCTCTATCCTCTTCTTCAACATGGCTAACTCCAGTTTAGCCCTCTGTTCTTAGCTTCCCTAACCTCTACACTTGTTTAGTCTGTAATAACACCAACTTTATAGTCACTACTTACTTAGTGGTGAGTCTTCCCTGATAGAATGCAGGCCCCTGTGAGAACAGGTGCCATGTCTGTCTAGATCACAACTGTAATGCAAGAGTGTAACATACTGCTTAACATGCAGGGCTGAGAGGAAATGAAGACACCATCACCAGTGAGAAGGAAGCAGATCATTCTGTTCACCAGATCAGATGGGAAGAAGAAACCCAGATAGAGAGAGAGCCCAAGTTCGGAGAGATTAAGCAAAATAGGCCACAGTATAGCAAATGAGCTGCCCTTGCACCAGTCTGGCCAATTTCTAATGTGCTTCCACCAGTGCTTAGCTTGGTGGGAGCAATGTTCTCTACATTGGGAGACTGAAGCAGGAGGATCACTACGAGTTCTGGGCCAGCCTTGGCTACCTAGTGAGTTCAGGGCCAGCCTGAACTACAAAGAGAGACCCTGCCTCAACAAACAACAACAACAAAAAAAAACTATATAAATTTGAGAGAAAGTATTAAATGCCACAATACAGTTTCTATAAACATATGTCCATTGCAATCAATATAGGTAACTTGCCAGGTATGGTGGCACACACGTGAAATCCCAGCTACTCAGGAGGCTGGTGCAAGAGAATCACAAATTCAAGGCCAGCCTGGGCAACTTAGCAAGATCTTATCTCAAAAAAATAAAATGGGGAATGTAGCTCAGAGCTGGAGGTGGTGTGTGTGTGTGTGTGTGTGTGTGTGTGTGTGTGTGTGTGTTGCAGAAGGAAATGGCAAGTGACACACACATAAAGATGAGCTGAACGGAAGTAAAATCATAAAAAGTTTATTTTGTCAGCAAAGGTCAAATTGCACTCAAAAAGGCAGTGCCAGTGATCAACCTCCTATTGGGTTGAAGCTTCTTCTTTTACAGGTTCTACATCTATGATCTCATCCAGGTGGTTACATTTCATTTCCTCAGTTCACATTACCCATGTACAACTTGCAGTAGTAAGACAATTAACGTTAACCCGGATGTAACAATTCTTGTAGTTAGGGAGTTTACCTCAGGATTCCTCTAGCTGTCTGTTCTAGTGCACAGGAAGGAGGTGTTCAAGGTTAGGGATGAGGCCACGTGTCCCACTTCATGGTCAGTGCTTCTGGTGTCTGTTAATCTTGAACTAAACAAAGCAGATCGCTGTTAGAGATAGCAGGAGTTGTTAATCTTGAACTAAACAAAGCAGATCGCTGTTAGAGATAGCAGGAGTCATTTTACATTTTCCTAATATTTTGTAGGTTTTCAGATACTTAAAAAAGTTCTCTGAAGTGTTTGTAAATGGGGAGGGGGGAGGGGGTGAAGAGAGGGCCGGGACAAGGGGAAAAAATGAGAACCAAGACCTGTCATGTAAAGGCACAACATCCCAATAATGAATGTAACTGTATTGTATACCTAGAATGTACCAATAAACTCAATAAAAAGAAAAAAAAATGCTAAAAAAAAAAAGTTCTCTGTATCATGTGTGTCTGTGTCTGTGTGTGTGGTGTATGTAACTAATATATCAGAACTTTACTAGTCTTGGTCCTGTTTGAATTCCCAAAACACCTTCTGCAGTGAATAGCATGGTGCCACTCTTAATGTTGAAGAAACTGGGACTCAAAATGATTTAGTGACTTGCCCTTAAAAGAGATCAAGAATGCCATCTCAAGATAGGCAAATTGTTGTACTGACTATCTCAAACTGAAATCACTTGAGGAATTATAACTTTGACAGGATCATTGGCTTATCTCTTCCTACATGCAGTAAGATGTAAAGACTATTTGGGGAGAGATGGCTTTTACATAACAAGGCAAAAAAAAACAAAAAACAAGCCTTCATTACCACATGCTGGTAATTGGGGCTTCAATGAACCAAGAAGTAAACAAACCAGGAAGTGTTCTAATCTTCCACGAGCTTTTACATGCCACATTTCTTATATCTCTTAGTAACATCCCGAAAACTTATATCCTAGCACAGATAGCCATTTGTCCTATCATCGCTTCACAAATTTATTGTTCTTTGTCTAAGAAGTATAAAAGCATCATGCTTTGGGCATTTCTTTGAACTTCACTCTTACGGAGATCCTCATGTGCATCTAAATTTAAATGTTTATGCTTTTCTCTTGTTAAATCAGTTCTTATATTGTTTCTAGATCCAGCCAAAGAGCCCACATAAGAACGAAGGGGGAGTTGTGGGGATCTCTTTCCCCTACAACCTCACATAACTTGTAAGTAGTAAAGTCACATATGTGTGACCACAGAGCCTGCATTCTTTCAACTGTGCTGTCCTACCTCCTTTAAACAAAGAACTATGCCTAACAGATGAGAACAGCCCATGTGAACAATTACAGAACAATGAAGGAGTAAACAATACAGTATTGAGTTTGAGAGTCTGAGGAATTCACAAAAGGGAGAGCACTATTTGAGCTGGCCTGGTGCTGAAAGACAAGATGTGCAATAGGCAGCATTTGAACAGGGCCCCGGAGGATGTAAATAGGGGCAGCTGAGAGGAGACAAGCTCTGCAAACCAAGAGCAAAGCAGGAGGTGGAGTCGGTGTGAAACTTGGTCTACCAAAAGTGAGGAATGGACTGGGGTGAAGAGGAAACGGAAAATAAGACAATTCAAAGGGAACGTAAAGTAAAACTTGATGGAAGGAAATACACTTGATCTTAGCCAAAAGGTTGAGAAGCGATGGTGGAAGGAAATAAAGGTCAAGAAAAAAAGTGAAAGCTGGAGACCGAGACTCTTTACCGAGGAAGATGGTCATCAGACACAGGAAGAGAATATAATGGGGCCGGATCGTGCACGTATTTAACATATACAAAGACAGCTTTTGTGCTTTGTGAGTGAGTGAAGCCAGGAGATGCGTGATTTAAATGGTACAGGTGATTCTAGACAGTATCTGCTATGAGGTGAGGGCATAGTCACCTAAGAATTGGGAGCTGGGGTCTGCTGATCCCTCAGCCCGTCTCACTTCCTGTATATGTCTCACAGTGTGAGTTTTCCACCGTGAAGACTGTGATCTGATGTTGAAGGAAAGAGAATGTTTTCACACAGTATTTGTCCTCAAGGCAAGCAGGCTTTTTCTTCCAAATGAAAGGAGCAAGGAGAAGAGAAGAGGAAGGAAAGAGAAGACAAACGGGGTGGGAGGGCAGCCACGCTAGAGGAAGCGTACACTCTGTACAGTTTGTTCCTCTGACGTTAGACCTAAACTGCTTGTAGGAGGCAACGTCTCTACAGCTGACAAGGGAAAATAGCCTTTAGAAAGGTGATTAAAAGAAAACTACTTATACTAGTTTAAAACAGTAAAGGAAAATATACAGGCTTATCCAACTGTTAAGCCTGTGTGTGTGTGTGTGTGTGTGTGTGTGTGTGTGTGTGTGTGTGTGATCTTCAGGCCAGACTTTAAGAAAATTAGTGGTTTCCGGGCCAGGGATTTAGCTCAGTGGTTCTGGCGCCTGCCTCGCAAGCACAAGGACCTGAGTTCAATCCCTGGTACCACAAAAAAAAAAAAAGAAAAGAAAATTAGTGGTTAGCTGGGAATGTAGCTCAGTGATGCAGCGCCTGTCTGGCAAGCATGAGGCCCTGAGTTTGATTCCCAGTACAAAAGAAAAGAAAAGAAAAGTAGAGGTCAGTGTGTGATAGGCAAAGGCCCAGTGATGACAAGATCTGAAGAAATAAAAAAAATTGGCATTGGGGCTGAGAGGGGTAGAGGTCGATTTCAAAAGGTCAGAATTATCCCCTCCAGCTTCAAAAAGCTTGGAATAAGAACGCAGCCCAGCTGTTTGGTCTCTCTCTTTCTGCAATGTAACAAACAGGCAGATGATTGACTGACTAAACTGAGGGCTGGGAGAAGAAAGCTAGAAATTGCCCAAGCTGCTATAAGGTGAGCCCAAGAACGGGCAGGACCAGCATGAGCACACTATTTTATCCTTTTCTCCCAATCAGTATCTTACACCTAGGGTGGAAGGACCCTTGAAAAAGTAGTCCCGGTCTTTTCCAAGACCAGAAAGAAAATAGAAGACTGGAGGGTGAGGAGTGGGCATCCCACACCCAGAGTACGGAAGGCTGCTGAAGTTCTGAGTCAAACCCGGGTGTTCAAGGGGAGAGATCCACTCTGAGCTCCATCTGCCTCCTTCACAATCTGGCTAGCAAGTAAATAAACCCAGTTACTTTAGGCCAGCAGGTCCATCTTCCTGCCACAAGTATACCTGTATTTGTTTTCTGTGTGTACTTTTCTGTGTAAGGGACCAACATTCACATTTGTCTGAGGAGCCATTTATCACTGCATTGCTCTTACTGTGCCTTATTAGCTTTATTCTCTGCACCTTAGCAAAACCTCTGCCACTCTGAGGCACAATCCGGGGCCTTTCAACAACTCTTCCCAGGCCCAGGATCTCTTGGGGCTACTGACTCTAAAACACAACAGTCAGTACTCCACCCTCTGGACAGCAGGGACCAACGCAATGCGTTTCTTTTCTCTTTACTTCAATCTCCCTCCCTTCCTTCCTTTTCTGTCTTCCTCCCCCGATCTCTCCTTTTCCCTCTTCTTTGTTCATCGGTTCCCCTTCCCTGTCCTAAGCTTAGTTAGTCCTCTGGCTTTACTTGGACACTGGTGGGATGGAGTCAGAATACCAACCCAAGGAACAAAGACGCAGAAAGGCACGTTCTGTTGCCACTACGTCTGGCCCACCTGCTACCAACCCCTTCTGTGTCCCACTCAGGCCTCTGAGGATGGATGTCCCCCGCGGGCTGCTGGCCATCCTACTGGTCTTCCTATGCTTCCTCACTGCCTGCGGTCACCTGGCACTTGAGGAAAAGCCTAGAGATGACAGAAGCCTGAGGAGCAACTCCTCCAAGAACCTACTGGATTTCCCCTCTGTCTCTATTGTGGGTGAGTATCTGGGCCTGAGGACCATTCTCTGGATCTGGCCCACGGGGTGGGGCTGGGGGCGCTGTAGGATGGATGCCAAGCCTGTTCCCCAAGCTGTTAACCAGGGTTCATTGTCATAGTCATAGTGTCTCCTTGCTCATTCTGAAAAGTAGTTCTAGGGAAACACGTAAGGTATTCCTTGATTCATTTGGTTTGGGAAAGGCCTGTATACCATCAATCTAATATATAACTCAGCATATTAGAGAGCCCAAGAAAGCCTCAAGTTAAGATGCTTGGTGAACGTGGCTTCACTTTACATTTCTGAAACTAAGTGAGTCACAGAACTCCTATCACTGGCAACAAACTTGAGGAAATGCCACAGAATATAACTAAGCCTGGAATGAACCGGTCCTGCCATACCAGGTTTGAGGTTTCCTGCTCAGGAAAAACCTAGAGCCATTAGAGCCTGGCCTTGGAGAGCTTCTACCTGACTTCACCTGATACTAATAACAACGGACATGTATTGGGGATATGATTCAGTGGCAGAGCGTGTGGTAAGCGTGCGCAAAGCCCTGGGTTTAATCCTCACAACTAAAATAGTAACAATAATAATAATAATAATAATAATTATTGATGTATATACTATATGCCGGGCACTGTGAGGTGGACACTGTAGGGTTTTGAGGAGGGTTGGCAGGATCCGGGATATAACCCAGGGCCTCACGCCTGCTTCAGAGTTCCTCGTGCTAGGTAAGTGTTCTGCTGCTGAGCTACATCCTCAGCCCTCTTTTTTTTTTTTTTTTTTTTTTTTTTTTTTCTCCTTCCCTTTTTTTTTTTTTTTTTTTTTTTTTTTTTGTACCAGGTATTGAACTCAGGACCTTGCACTTCTGAGGCAGGTGGCGAAACCACTGAGCTAAATCCCTGGCCCTCGTCAGTCCTTTTTGAGACAAAGTCTCACTAAGCTACCTAGACTGGGCGTGAGCCTGAGATCTGCCTGCCTCAGTTTTCTAAGTTTCTGGGACTACAGATGTGTGCTGTTAGGCCCAGTTGGCCCTGTTTTTATTCATATCTTACAATTTTGAGGCAAGTAAGGCTCACAAAAGTTAAGTAAATAACCTAAAATCCCAGTTCTTAGTTGCCAGTGCAGGTTTTCAAACACAGGCAGATTCTGCATTTAACCTCAAAACTAACCCTTTATTGCATTGGCTCTCCTTATAAAAAGAGGATATTTTCTAGACCTATCAGGGAACAAAGGCAGGCAAGAAAGGGAACATCAATTTCTTGACCACCTTTTGCCAGACATTTCACTTTTTAAAAGACCACATGTATCCACGTAGTATAGAATCTTTTTTACAGATGAGAAAACTGAGTTTCAAAGAGGATAAGTAGGGGCCGGGGATTTAGCTCAGTGGTTCTACCAACTGCCTTGCAAGTGCAAGGACCCAAGTTCAATCCCTGGTACGGGAGTGGAGGAGTTATGTAGGTTACCTAATTCTACACAGACGTTACATGGCAGAGTCAGATCTGCCTGGCTCCAAGTTCTGAGAAATAGAAAATAAGTAACATAGGTATATCCAGACTCAAGATACTGGATCAGTTTTCTTTCTTTTTTTTTGTTTGTTTGTTTGTTTTGTTTTTTGAGATAGGGTCTCACTATGTAGTTGAGACTGACCTGGAACTCACTATGTAGCACAGGCTGGTCTCGAACTCACAGTGATTCTCTTGCCTCAGCCTCCCGAGTGCTGGGTTTACAGGCATGCGCCACCACGCCAGGTCTGGTTCAGTTTTCGTAATGCCCCAGTGTTCTTGTACCTGCCAGATTATAGACTAAAGAAGGGGGCTCTGGAGCTATCAGGATCAAGGGCACAGGCATAGTTGCCATAGGCAGGTGATAGAACCTCCTTAGATTTCCCATCTGCCTTCCCTCAAAGGACACTGGTTTCAGTCCCTTGCTCCAGCAGCAGCCAGGATAACAAGAACCTGCTTGCTTCAGTCCGCAGTGTGATTCATCCAGCCAACACCCGGCTCCTCTCTTCCACCCTGAGACTTCGCAGGTCCCCCTCTGCTCCTCCTGTTTCACTGCAGTTCAGGGCCCCAGAAACATCTGGCTTTGCTCTTTCTGTCTCTCTTTGAAGCACTGAACAAGAAATCCAAAACAATCAGCAGAAAAGAAGCAGAAAAAAGGAAAAGATCTGCCAAGGTAGGCCTGGGAGTCCTCATTGTGGGAATGGGATTGGACTTGAAGGGGAGGATCTGCACCTGTAGTTTAAAACTAAGTGAAAGATTTTTCAGGCCTGTACTAGCCAAAGAATTGAAAATTACCCAAAGGCTTCCTGGTCCCCTCAGAAGCCCAGAGAGCTACAGCTCACTGAGCAAAATAGTTTATCTGCTGAAAAGCAATTTCTGATAACAGAAATTTCACCGTCACTCATTCTTTTGAATGAATACAATGTTTCTCAAAGCTCAGGCTTTTCAGAACCACTTCTACAACTTTTATCATATTTGAAAATCAAAACTTAAAAAAAAAACTATGATAGAAAGCTTGTATAACTATAAATAGAAGGTAATGATAGGAGGCCAGGGATTTAGCTCAGAGGCACCATGCCTGCCTGGCAAGCACAAGGTCCTGAGTTCAAAAGTAACAAAGTGAAAATATGGAGGGCTAGGGATTTAGCTCAGTGGCTCCACTCCCTGCCTCACAAGTGCAAGGACCTGAGTTCAATCCCTGGTGCCAAAAAGAAAAGAAGAGAAAAGAGGGCTGGGGATTTAGCTCAGCGGTTCGGTGGCCTGCCTTGCAAGCGGCAAGGACCTGAGTTCAATCCCCAGTACCACAAAAAAAAAAAGAGAGAGAAAAGAAAAGAAAACATTGTTAGTGAAATCTAGCTGGATGGCATTATTGCTTGCCGAAGACTCTAAACGTGAGGTCTGCAGATAGAAAGTGTTGAAGAAGAATTTAGGACATGTTAGTACTAAACTGAGCTTCTCAGGTTGAAACAACCATTTTTCACTGTATGACTGACGGTCATTTAATCATCAGTTACCACCTAAAATCATGCCCCCCTCATACCGACTCCCACACTTTGGGACGTGGAATGAAGCACTGCTGAAATGTACATATTAATCCTGTTTTGGTGTGCCTTGGTTTACCAGATCAACTATAACAAGAATGAGCAGATCTGATGACCGACAAGGATATACGACAGACAGATTTTACCTACTAGGCCCGGGGGCATAGAAAGTGAGCAAGAGATATCCCTGCTCTAGTGGAGTTTATATTCTTGTGGGAGGAAAACAGCAAATAAATCAGTAAAACAGGTAGAATCAATTCAGATGATAAATCTGTGAAGAAATAAAGCATGAATGAAAGAGTAAAGGGAAGAGTCTTCAGAGAAGGTTCAGGGAAGCACTTTGGGGGGCGCTAAGGACTGAACCCAGTGATTTCACACTAAATTACCTCCTCAGTCCTTTTTGTATTCTTTATTTTTGAGACAGGTTCTTGCTAAATCACTAAATTGCCCAGGCTGGCCTCAAACTTACCACGGCCTCAGCTTCCCAGAGTGGCAGGATTACAGGAGCACACCACCCCCTGGCTAGGAAGCACGTGTAAATAAAAACTTGTAATCTAGAGCAGCGATGTCCAATAGAAACAATACATATATGATTTCAAATTTTCTACTAGTCACATTTTTAAAAAGTATTATGAAAAGTTATATATATTGGCAGGGGGGGCACCAGGGATCGAATTTAGGACCTTGCCCTTGCAAGACAGGTGCGGCGCCAGTGAGCTAAATGCCCGGCCTCTTTTTAATATTTTATTTAACCCAATATATTTAAAATACTGACGTTTCTACATGTAATCAATTTTGGGCTGAGGATGAGGTTCAGTGGTAGAGTGCTTGCCTATCATGCGCCTGGCCCTGGATTCAACCCCCAGCACACAAAAGAAAAAAACATGTAAGCCATTTTAAAAGTGATTGAAATATTTTATTCCTTTTTCATGCCACGTCTTTGAAGTCTGGTGTATATGGAACAGCACCTGTCAGTTCCAACGCTAAATCTTCAACGAAGTGAAACGTGGTCTTAACAAAACAATAAACTTGTACTTAGTAGGGAAAATTTTTTTACATCGCTTCAGTTTTAAAATAAATAAAATAGAAAAACAGGTTCCTCAGTTGACCACTATCCACAGTATTCAATAGCCACGCACGGCTGTGATTTCTAATGTCGGACAGCCAGCAAAGCATGTCCCGGGCTAGGGGACAAGCGCGAAGGTTCCTCAGCAGGGGTATTTGCTGTGTTGAGGGGCAAAAAGTGATTGAAATATTTTATTCCTTTTTCATGCCACGTCTTTGAAGTCTGGTGTATATGGAACAGCACCTGTCAGTTCCAACGCTAAATCTTCAACGAAGTGAAACGTGGTCTTAACAAAACAATAAACTTGTACTTAGTAGGGAAAATTTTTTTACATCGCTTCAGTTTTAAAATAAATAAAATAGAAAAACAGGTTCCTCAGTTGACCACTATCCACAGTATTCAATAGCCACGCACGGCTGTGATTTCTAATGTCGGACAGCCAGCAAAGCATGTCCCGGGCTAGGGGACAAGCGCGAAGGTTCCTCAGCAGGGGTATTTGCTGTGTTGAGTCACAGAAGTCCGCTGGGACAGCGGAGTAAACACAGCCTGAGAAAGTTTCTATTTTATTCTAGGTGCAAAGAGAAATTACTGGTGTTGTTTTAAGCAGGGATGTGGTACGATCATAAGTCTTCCCTCTGGTCCTTCAGTACACTGGAGGATAGACTGTAGGTGCCAGAGCGACAGAGGGTCTGGCCCAAGGTTGCAGCGTGGGAGAAAAAATGGGGGTTGGGGGGCGCTGTGCCCTGATGTATTAAGAAGTCGGGGATTGCGGACGGACTGGAAGCCAGAAGACTAAGTGCATAGTTTAAAACCGGAGCTGAGTGGGATCCTATAGGAAAGATAGGGCCAGCACTGGGCCAGGTGAGTGGATGGGGAAGGAGGTAGAGGGCGGGGAGATCAATTTGGGGGAGCGGGAAACCCTCCGGGATGCCCTGAGGCACGAGTCCAGCCGTCGGTGGGCAGCCGGGTAGGGGTGAGGGGGCCAGGACTTCCACAGCCCCAAGACTTTCCGGGCAGAGATGAGGACTGACGGGGCGGGCATGGACGACTGGCGCAGCCCCGCG